CGGCGGGGACGGGGAGGGCGACAGCGACGTCGAGGTTGACGCAACCGTATCGAGAGCGCCACCCAAAAAGGGGCGGACAGCCATGGAGGTCACCGAATGGAGGGCGAACGGCACGATGCGAAAAGGCAGGGCGAGGCGGATGGAGAAAGAAGTGCCGAGAAGGCCATGGTGGAGGGGAGGGACGGGAGGACGAAAGAAGGGCGAGGAGGACGAGCGGCCCGCACAGACCGCGAGCAGACAGCGCCTGCTGGCCATTTCGAGACATTCGCCAAGAACGCTAGCTACATGGGAGGGCTTCGTGAACGAGGATGGATTGAAAAACATTCGAACAAAGAAGAGGCGACGGGAGGAACCGGCGGAGGTGTGACGTGACACACACACACACACACACACACACACACACACACACACACACACACACACACACACACACACACACACACACACACACACACACACACACACACACACACACACACACACACACACACACACACACACACACACACACACACCGCTCACCCACGCGCACCGGGCCTTGCACTTTGAATGCCGTGGGGCTCCTGTCGTCAGACGTGGAGACGCGAGGGTTGCCCCCCCTTGCCCCACCACCTCGTGTGTGTGGAGAAGTTTACCTTACCTTACCTTACCTTAGCCCCCGTGGCCGTGCCAGCACACTGACGTTGTGTCCCGCGGGTGCTGACACCTCTCTGCGAGGAAGCGATACTCTCCCAGCGTGCCAACGTGGCACGTTGAATGCTGGACACATCGAGCCTGCAACGGCACTGCCGCGTACACCGATCGGCACCGCCCTCGAAATAGGAGAGCCTAACCAGGAACGCCAAACGCCTGCGGCACAATGGCCAATGCGTGAGCCAGCGAGACGGCCGACGGGTAAGCGGCGCTGCGTGCGGTGCGCACGTCGCGGCGCGGCGTTGCGGTCGCGTGAGCGGCGGGCGCGGGCGTTGGTCTGCGTGCGTGAGTTCGCGCGGCTGTGTGTCTCTCCGGAGAGCGGAGCGCGAGCGTGCCGGCGAGGCGGCGAGCGGTGGCAGGGCCTGGCGCGAACCTGCGCGAAGCGGCGTGTTGAGCTGGCCAGACGGGATTGCCACCAGGTCTCGCTTGAGTAGCCTAGCAGCAATAGAGTGAGGGCGTGAGGCAGTGTTGTGTCCGCGATGTCGCTCGAATGAGGGCGTGGAAAGTGCAGCCTGGGTTCCGGCTGTTTGGGGGGTAGGGTAGGGTTTACGTGGCGACGCCATCGCTGTCACAGCTGTGGCAGCCGCACAGTAGGCTGTGCCATCTGTGCAGAGCGTGTGGCTCCAGGAGCAAAGAGCTGCATGCCACCGAAGGCGCTGTCGATCGATAGGTTCGCCGTACGCCGAGCGCGGCGCAGTCCGGTGCTAAAAACGGGCCGCCTAGTGCAGCATCACTAGTACAACACGCAACCACACTGAGAGCTCCACACTAGCCGGTATAGGCGAGCACCGGCGGCCTCACCGTCGCCGCTCGCGGCGGAGCCGACGGCGGAGCCACGGGCCGGTGCGACCTTTTGGGGGGACATGAGCTCGCCAGGACGTCACCGATGGCTCGGCGCGCCTCTTCCCGCCGGCGCGGGACGGCCTGCCTACAGGAGGGAGGGGGGGGAAGACGGAACTGAGCACTAGGTTCGTGATCCCGTCGCCGGCAAGGGCTGGGAGAGGGGCGGCAAGCGACGGGCGGGTCCGCGACCTTTTGAGCGCCCATGAGCTCGCCGGGAAGCCAATGATCAATGTGAGTCTTGTTCCGAACAACTTGTTGATGTTTTGTGTGTTGAGATGTTTACCTTACCTTACCTTACACGGATCGCGCCACACCGCCCACGCGCAGGTCACACCACACCGACGTCTGTGCCGCTAGACACGCTATTACACTAATACGCACGCTTGCCCCGTCAGCCGAGGCCCATCGCGGCGCGTTGCGAGCTCGCGCATGCTGAGCGAGAAGCGGCCGTACTCCGCCTCCTGCATGTCGCGGATGTACGGGGCGGGGAGGCTGGCGAGCGCGAGCTGCCGGTCCCGCTGCGAGAGGGCCTCCTCCTGCGCGCGGTTGGTCGCCTCGAGCTCGCGGATCCGCGCCCGCTGCGACTCGACCTCGCGGCGGAGGCGCTCGAGGCTGTCGCCGCCGCCGTCGCCGTCGCCGCCGAACGCGACCATTGCAGTGCCCGTCTCGCCGGCGTGGGTTGTTGGCGATGCCATCGTTGCGCCTGCAGCGCGGCGCAGGGGCGGCGTGGGTGAGTGGCTTCAGAGGGAGGAGGCGGCGAGGCGAGGGCGAGAAGGCCGCCTGCACTGTCTCAGAGGCGCCGAGTCTGGTGTGGTCGCTGCCGCGTCCTGGACGGCGCTCGGGTTTCGTAGACGCGGACATGGTGGAGAGCACGGAGGGTTACGCGCACGCCGTTTTGACCGCCGTTATCGATCTCGTGGGTCTAAATTTAGTCCCAAGGGGTGCCCAGTGCAGTCCTCGCAGCAAGAGCGGCTCATGCTGTCTGCCTCAGCTTTGTCGTTCGCTGTGCCCAGCCTGCGCACCAGCGCGGCCTATGCCGGCTCCCCCTCCTCCGTGCGCTTCGTGTCGCGCACTTACACCCCGTTCGATCCAAACGAGAAGGCGGCGTACGGGATGGGAGCGGCCGAAAAGTTCAGCTACGACCCGGAGCACGCGTACGCGTACGTGGCGACGGAGCGCGGCTACATCAGCGTGATAGACTACAGCGCCCCCGTCGCCAGCGTCACATCGCTCGGCGTCAGCCTGGGTAAGGGCCTCACTGCACGGGACCTGCGCCTGTGCGGCGAGAGCCTGTACGTTGTCGTCGGCACCATCGGCAAGCGCACGGAGCCCGGCGCGCTCCTCGCCTTCAGCAGGGTGACGCGCGCGGCGCCCGCTAGCCTGGCTCAGGTCTGGGAGGTGGGTGTCGGCCCGGGACCGGACAGCCTGCTTCCTTCTCCGGACTGCAAGACAGTGGCGGTGCGGACAGCAGCACGCCGCTCTCCCCTCCCTGCCCCCCACCCCCCCTCGCCCCCTCGCCCCAGGTCTCCAACCAGGGCAAGGGGCAGTGCACCGGCGGTGTAGTCTGCCAGCTCATCGACCCCGAGGGGTGGGTTTGCTGCCGAGATCGCCCGAGCTCACCAGAGCTCACCCGAGCTCACCCGAGCTCACCCGAGCTCACCCGAGCTCACCCGAGTGACGCCACGTGTCCACGTGTCCATCTTGCAGGTCCGTCTCCCTGGTGGACGTCGCCACTCGATCCTCGAAGACGGTGCCGCATGCCCCCTCCCCCTCCCCTCCCTCGCACGCTCGCACGCACGCACGCTCGCTCGCACGCACGCACGCACGCACGCACGCTCGCACGCACGCACGCTCGCACGCACGCACGCACGCACGCACGCACGCTCGCTCGCAGGTGTCCCTTGGCTATGTCGCCGGGTCGAGCGACAGCGCGCTGCAGGCGGAGGGCGTGCACATCCCGCTCCCGCTGAACGCGATGGTGTACTTTGACGACTTCTCAAACAAGAAGATGGACACGGTCAACTTTGCCGAGGTGTGAAGAGCATGCGGCGTAGAGGAGAGAGGGAGAGAGACAGAGCGGGAGCGAGAGAACACACACACACACACACACACACACACACACACACACACACACACACGCACACACACACACACACACACACACACACACACACACACACACGCACACACACACACACATACACACACACACACACACACACACACACGCACACACACACACACACACACACACGCACACACACACACACCGCACGCCCTCGAGGCATGAGTTGAGAGTCATGACGCGCCCAGGCGCGGCGCAAGTACACGCCCGCCACCATGCTCGAGCCCGAGGCGCTGGAGTCGGGCGCCGGATCCGCCGCCAACCAGCTCCTCCCTGGCGACCTTTGCGGATCTGCTCCTCGGCTAGGCGCTGGCGTGGGCTCCCGACGGCACCAAGCTCTTCGCCGCGCTGCAGATCAACTCGGCGGCCCCGGCGGCGGACGCGGCGCAGTAGCAATGGTGAATGAGCTCACACAGTTGACCTGCTAGGCCATCCTGACGGTGGATGTGGCGACCGCCACCGCCGAGCGCCTCACCCCGCTCGGCCTGCAGGACGGCGGCGTCATCTCGGCCCAACCTCGCGCAATCTCGGCCCATCTCGCCCCATCTCCCGTCCTCTCGGCGGACTCTCGGGGCCTCAGCCTCGACATGCTCGCTCGGCCCGCAGGATTGGGGGGCAAGCGGTGGCACGCAGGGGCTTGACACGGCCACCTGTCGCCGGCTGGGGTGCCAGCACAAGTCAAACACGGCTCCGAGCAACAATGCTGAGAATAGGTGCGCGACAACGCATGCCAGCTGAAGCACGTGCCAGAGTTCAGCACGCTGCGCTCGCCCAGCGCCATCGAGGCCTTCGAGATCGATGGAGAGACGTGCGCGCGCCTCCCCCACCTCGCCCC